CTTACAAAATAAACCTTATGCAGTATAAAGGTATATAAAACCTGAACTAGATAGAAGCCTGTGTTTCAGGTTAAAAACAGTAAACGAGCAGACGGATCACCTGCTGGTAAGCAATCGGCGTCGCCCATGGACACCTGGAACACCAGAGGCGTTACCAGTGCGTTACCGGCCTTTTGGGGATTAGGAGTTTGAGGACCGTTGGGGATTCAGTGAGTGAGGAGATTGGGGAAGGGGAGGGAGGTAAATAGCGTTGTCCATAGAGGCCATAGACACCTGTACAATAGAAATGTTACCGGCCATTTAAAGATTAGGAAACAGAGGATTGTTGGAAATTCGGGGATTGGGGAAACTGGGGGCGTGGGATTTGGGCCACCTGTAAGCTCACTCATACGACGAAATATTATTATAACGCAAGCGTTGCTTCACGTCGGTTTTCTGCTCGGCCGTGGTAACACTCCAGTTGAGGCGGCCCATTCGTGCCGAAGCATGGCTCTCGCACACTTCAAATTACATTACAATAAACTGAATTATTTTATAATTGTATGTTTCGTAGCATAGATCTCTAGTTTTACCCATAAAATGACTATGAGCAATTGATAAAACCATCTTCAACTAAATCGTAATCCTAAAAGAAAATTCGTAAATTCGTAAACCTTCTTTAAAACAGCGATGGCACGGTTCGAGCAGTGGATGGGAAACCGCCTACCGCGCAACGTATCGCAAGTTGGATTCCCGCACGGAGCAACTCTTTATGTGTTCCACAAATTGTTGTGGTATGTGAACTTGTATATTTGTAAACGTACCCACGACACAGGAAAAAACACTAGTGTGGGGCAACGTTGTAAAAAAAACTTCTCTATCTAGAGGTACATTTAAAACTCGCTCCTTAAATCAGTTACGACTCGAATATTTTGAAATTAGTAAAAAATCTTGGAAGTAGGACTCGTCACCATTAACACGGGATTTTTTAACATAATTGAAAAAGGTTGGTGCAGTGTATTGCAGGTCATTAAACCTCTTTAGGGATTAAAAAAGTGATATTTATGTAGTTTTATAGCATATTATAACTATCGACTCGCCCCGGCTTCGCAGGGGTGCAATATGCATGTATTATACATATAAAACTTCCTTAAGAATCACTTTATCTATTAAAATAAACCGCATCAAAATCCGTTGCGTAGTTTTAAAGATCTAAGCATACATAGGGACAGAGAGACTGCGAATAGCGATTTTGTTTTATACTATGTAGTGATAGTGATAATATTATTAGCTGTCAAATTCACACATTTCAAAGTTGTTAAATAAACAAATATTATAAAGAAATTACTTCGTAAACAAATTCAATAGATATCTACACAAAATGCACAAACTAACTTGCAGCACTGATGTCATATGAATAGCTTGGAACAAAGTATCATTTCTTTTAAATAATATAGTTCAAAGTGCGCTGTCAACCAGGAAATACATAATAATATTACAGTCTCAATACACTTACAATATGCAAAACTGATTCGCAATAACATATTACATTATGAGCAAACATAACATAACATCACGCCTCTTATCCCCGAAGGGATAGGCAGAGGTGCACAATGCGGTACTTAATGCCACTGTACAATGTAACATCCACTTTTCACTATTAATTTTATGAGTCCTATGTAATTTAGCGGGTGAGCCTATTGCCATATTGGCTATGTGCAAAGCGAGTAGTGGCGGACAGATAACGACCGCAGCGCACAACACGGCACAAATTGGAAACAAATGGGGATGATCAGCTGTCAAATGTGTTGATTGCAGTACAAAATCAAAGCAAAGAAATGGACCATGGCTCGTAATAAGTAGCTCTGGCCGTTATGTCGCAGTTCTTTCACATTTCTTACATGTCCGGCTAATACTAATTTATTGCCTTTTGTCTCAGTTTGTGGTTGGAAACTAATATTATGTGTAATAGTTTCAAACCCGGTATTTATTATTATATTAATTTCACAGTAAAACTATTGAATAAATTGCACTTAAATAATATCAACAATACTATCTTAATTTTTGGTTTTAAGAAAACTATAATGTTTACATTGTTATTATTTGACAACTTCCGCAAATGTTGTAAACGCTACGCGTCCCCACCGTCGTGCACATAGCCAATAGCGGGTACAATTCCAGACTCCGTGCTACAACTTAGATTTTTTTAAAACCCCCTAAATATTTTGTCCGACCCGGAAATTAAACCCGAGACCCCTTGCCCGGTAGTCGCACTTGCGACCTCTCGGCCAATGAGGCAGAAATTATGAGGTAGGTAAGTAAATGATAATATGAATGCATTTATTTGCACTACACTCGAGAAGTGACTTCTTCATTTGTTATTTATTAGTATAATATAAGTTGTAACATGTTTGCGAATTTGTATAAGTAATAAAGTGTGTGTTACAGCTACTGTTGAGTTAGTTAAAGGGCTTTAAGTTAGACACCCATACATGGTTTCAACCTCAACAGCCTATAAGTGGCCACTGCTGACCAAAGGCCTCTTCTCCCACGGAGATGGTTTGATTTTTAATAGCCACGCTTATTTAATGCGAGTTGGCATTTTCAAATTTATAATTACAAGTTATAAGCTTAGGTCTCCTCACGATGTTTTCTTTTGCCGTTTGTCAGTGGTGACTAAACAATATTCAGTGCAAATATAGTAAATGCCTCCATATTATTATTTACTTTCCCCATAATGTCTGCGCATTGGTCGAGTGGTCGCAAGTGTGACTGCCGGGCATGGGGTTCGCGGAGATCCTAACGGGTTACCGGGGCTCCGGCGTTTTAGTCAGTAAAAGTCCGACACTCCTTCCCGCCTCACCCAGGCGGGAGCAGCCATTCGATGATTTTCCCCTCTTAAAAAGACCTTATGACAATGAAATACTTACAATCAGGTATAAGTCCAGCTGGGTATCCATAGTCGGCGCGCGGACCGTAAGTGGCGGCTCGTGCTTGACCGATGAGGAGGCAGGCAGCCACCACCACCAGCCTGAACATCTGCGACATTGTTCTGGAAAGAAAAAAAGCAATAAATTATTACTAAAATTATATTACAGAAGAACTTGTTACAGAGGCAGTTTTGTCATAATTGGTCGCCATACAGCAGATGTCGTAAGAACTGACTATGGGTCTAGATATTATTTTATTAGGACTGGACAGCAGCGCTCTCTAATAAGCCTGAACCTTTTTTATGCTATACCTAGATAGGACGATAAATGAGCAGATGGATAACCATCTTACTATCATTATCGTGCATAAGCAATATGCGCTGCTCATGTACTCCCGCAACAAATTGAGTATATCTTTTGAACAATGGATATGAGATCTATTTTCCAACAGTGAATTGTAACAGACAATTACAGTTGATGTTGTCGATTACCAGAATCTGGTTAGTTATATGTATATAGTACTTGTATGACAAACCTAATTGGATTACTAACAACTGGGAAAATATCAAGGTTTATTCTGATACAGGAATGAATTTGCAGCATGCTGTGTACGCTTTACCCTGCGGGCTAAACCCTCAGGCAGCAGAGATGTGACACAAAACCCACACATTCAACCATTCGAACTCGAACCATAATCTATACTAATATTATAAAGCTGAAGAGTTTGTTTTTTTGTTTGTTTGTTTGAACGCGCTAATCTTCGGAACTACAAGTCTGATTTGAATAATTCTTTTTAGGATAGATAGGGCATTTATCGAGGATGGCTATAGGCTATAGAACGTCACGCTACGACCAATAGGAGCTGAGCAGAGCGTGTGAAACCGCGCAGAAGTAGCTAGTCGACATATACGTTCCGCTCCTCCACGGAGCATCCTCAGGAGTTGTCGATTCGGCGGCTCCTGCGGCTCGAAACTAGACTGAGATTACCTAGTGACCTTTTGATCTCCAATTTACGATAAGTTCATTTCATAATATACTCCATCAAGTAACATGAAAATAATAGTCTATAATTACAGGAAAATGATGGATATCTATGAATAGTATGTTTCATCATTTACATAATTATGATGAAAATATTTATTTCAGTAGATACAGTGATAGTGGGGTTATTTATAAGCACATTTGTCGATAATGATAATACCTACATGGTGTAACAGAACGCTGACAAAAAGAAATTGTTTGTACCATTTTAATTGCTTTTGTTTTCGTATTATTCATGCATTCATGCCTTGAGCAGTTGATTACAACTATCATTAAATAAAAGAAATGTTTAATAAAAATGCCTGCCTCGTTGGCCGAGTGGGCGCAAGTGCGACTGCTGGTCAAGAGGTATCGGGTTCGATTCCCGGGTCGGGCAAAGTGTTACTGGGTTTTTTAAAATCTCAGTAGTAGCATGGAGTCTGGAAATGTGCCCGGTATATGGCAATAGGCTCACCCCCTATTACATGGGACTCATAACATGAATAGTGAAAAGTGGGTGTTATAATATTGTACAGTGACATTAAGTGCCTGCCCCTTCGGGGATAAAAGGCATGATGTTGTGTTATGTTTAATAAAAATGAAACAATTTTTTTATCTTTCCCTGTCGGCGTTTTTCAGGAGCGTTCTGTATTCCAATTCATGTATTCCAGGGTCTAAAAGAAATTAGTAAATAGTACCACATTGGACCTTTAAAATGTGTGTTACCTCTGAAGAGGTAGAGTAGAGAAAAGTCAATGTCTAATATTAAATGAATCTTTGTGGATTCCCACCTGAATTAATTTCTACTATAATGGAGCAAATAGCTTGTTTGTCAGCGATTAGGTTCTACTAATCGAGTGCGCATTAATCATCCTAAACTATACTATAAAGGACGCCATCCGAAAATCCATTCTGTTATAAAATGATAAAGGTTTTTCCAGATTGGTTAAATTCAGTGATAAGCTAAAGTTCACTATTAGTTATATTAGTTACCGTGGAACTATTTCAGATACAGAGAAATACCTCTATATCTGAAACATGTGTAGTGATGACAGGAATGCCTGTCCTGCACTTTGAGCATTTAATGTAAAAGCTAGACTTAAACTTATTGTAGGTACAACTTAAATTAAATATCCGAGGAAGTTACTAATTCATAATATACGATTAGAACTACCAACTGCAAGTACCAATGTGACTTTTTCCGAGTTATAATGTACTTTCTGAGATTATTTAGACACTACTGAGAAACGGTGAAGGAAAACATCGTGAGGAAACTTGGGCTTATAATTTCTAATTATTATATACGTTTGAAATCGCCAACCTGAATTGAGCAAGCGTGGTGAGTAATGCTCAAACCTTCTCCGTATGAGAAGAGGCTTTGCTCGGTAGTAGGCACTTACAGGCTGTTGACGATGATTAGAACTAAGTCACAAATTAAATTTATCGATCTTTAAGGTTACGCTACGTATTCCAATTTAGTGCAATCGTTCAAGAGTTATGAGCAAACAAATTTGATATAATCACTTTAGCAATTATAATTTTTACTTTTTACTAAACTATTTGAACTTCTGTACATTCATCTACATTGTACCTCATCATTTATGAATACTAATTATGTAGTGTTATGATAATTTTGACCCAAATTAGATCAGGTCAAAATATTTGTTAGCTCTTTAAAATGTTTATGAGCTTTTTGTAATTGGTGTATTATTGCTATTTTAAATTCTGACCCAGACGTCTCGAAATATCTATATTTTGATATTTCTTTGATCTTAAAGTTTTAAGTTTCAAAGAAAATTAAGTATCGGGTATTTCAATTCATCAGGATCAACAGCCCTTAACAGTCAACTGCTGATTATGGGCCTAAATAAGAGAGGGTTTGCTATATTCTCCACCCTCGGCAGGCAGGGCTACAAATCACAGTTTAACTCGTCGAGTACCGTCATTATAGACACAATTATAGAACAATAGGTTGCGGTCACCGGTGACCGCTCGGTGTTTGACAGTTTAAGAAGTTCAGGTTTATCAGAGCGTTGCTGCCCAAACGTGTGCCGTAAGTTCATGAATGACCCTTATCCATATTTTAATTGGGTTCAAAATTCCCAGACACATTACATGTGTTTCTCTTAAAGAATATTAATTAGATATCTTTTTATGAGATAAGACAGTAAACGTGCAGTCGGATCACTTGAAACTAAGCAATCGGCGTCACCCATGGAAACCTGGAACACCAGAGGCGTTACAAGTGCGTTACCGGCCTTTAGGGTATAAGGGATTTGAGGATTGTTGGGGATTCAAGGGTTAGGGAGATTAGGGAAGGGGGTAGAATTGGGCCTCTGGTAATCCTACTCACACGACAAAATACGACGTAAGCGTGGTTTTAAGTCAGTTTTCTGTGAGGCCGTGATATCACACTGGTCGAGCCGGCCCGTTTGTGCCGAAGCTTGGCTCTCCCACACTTAAAGTTATAGCATATATCTGATCTTAATCCTCAATTACGTAGACACTTTTAAAACGTCTAAATGAATTGTTAGAGAAACTAGGTGCTCGTTCCAAAGTTTAGTTTCGAATTGAGAAGAACGAGCACTGCTGCTTGTATCTATCTTGTGTCGTAATTTCATGAATGGCCCTTAACCATATTTTAATTGGGTTCAAAATTCCCAGTCACATGACATTGTTCTTAAGTGTTTCTCTTGATGAATATTAATTGTATCTAAGAGACCAGTGACCGTCAGTTTAAGTTTTGAATTTCCGAGTCGGACAAAGACAATATTATTGTGTTTTAATACTACTACCCTGGACGAAAGATCATTTGGAAATTATGCTTCATCAACTCTACAGTCTACATATTCTACGAAAAAGAGATGATGGGTTAGCACCAGGCGAGATGGAGACCAAACGTTATCCTACTAAATAGGTACCTAAGTATATAAAAAACTACCTTCTGACTAGCTGGTGACTTCGTACGCGCAATCCCATTTTTCCCATTTTCGTTCGTGATTTTCCGTGAAGAGTAAAAAAAGTATTAGGTAAATAGTATACTATGTCCGTCCCCTGGTTCTAAGCTCCCCAATTATCATCCAAATTGATTTAGCCATTCTTGAACTATAAATAATGTAACTAATACGACTTTCTTTTACAATAGAGAAGATGTTAACAAAATACTGCATCTTTCAGCAATAGTAAGATTTTAAACCCGCACTTTCATGTATGAGGAGCGACCATCTAAAACCTCCGGGCCGATTTTAACATAATCTGCGGAAATCGTTCTAAATTCACCAATAGATGTAACAAATATACAAAACTGATATATTATAGGAAGTCGAAAGGCCAAATAGTAACACTTCCTGAAAATATTGCTAATTAGATCTTTAAGGTCATATTTCTAAGGCTCTATTTTGATTATCAATGAACTTGATTAGCACTAGTAACCACGCGTATAGCAAGGCCATGGTCAAAGAATATATCACGATCTTTGAGATTTTACTGCATTTGCTCAATACTTTATTGCATTCCATAAGGTTTCCAACAGTTAGCATTGTTACAAGGTACAGAAACAATTATGGACCCTGTCGTGCACAGCAAAAGTAGTTTTTATAGAGGAGAGGATGAATAGCACTATTTTAAAATTTAAAATGTTGAATATGAAAAGAAAATTTCAAACTTATGGGTTTGAGTGGGTATTCAACACATTTATTTATGTTAGTTACATTTATTTATGTTAATAATATGTATTTACATATATTTAAAAAAAACATTGCCCCACACTATGATTTTCTTCTGTGTTGTGGGTGCATTTACAAACATACAAGTTCACATTACATGACACCCAGACCCGGAGCAGCAATCTGTGGATCACACAAAGAGTTGTTCCGTGCGGGAATCGAACCCGCGATATGTTACGCGGCAGCCAGTTGCCCAGCCACCACGCCAACCGTCCAGTTAAAATATTAATTATATTCATCATATTTATTATCTAACAGGTAGGTACACAAAGCACCGCTAATTGGTTCGAGGCGCTACACATCGACATTACTATCATTTACACAGTGAACATGTGTGGGTAATTTCATATTAATAGATATGTATAGAAACATTCGTT